CTCTCTCCTCCTCCCCTTGGCCGAAACTCTCTTCTTCCTCTCTTCCTTCTTCTTCCTCCTTCTTCTTTTTCTGGGTTGCAAACGGCTTTTTTTTTTCTCCTTCTTCTTTCTCTGGGTTGGGGGCACGGGGGAGAGGGGGAAAATGGATTGTTAATTTTTTTTTTAATTATTTAATTAATTTTTTAAATATTTTTAATGACACGTGGCGCCCAGTCATTGTTCACATAGGCGCCACGTCATTACTTAACAGGAGAACTAACAGTTTGACTAACGGATGTATGAGATTGTCCCAAAATTTACACTTTATGTATGACTCTGAGACGAAAAAAAATTAATGTACTAAATGTTGAAAACCATGAAACTTGAAAGTAGTAAACAATCTTTTGCCCATTTTTCAAAATTTATTAGCATTTTTACAAAATATTATTTTTAAAAATATTTCAATTTAAAAACGTTTTCAGTCATTTTAAAAACATATCTAAGCAAATTATCACATTGCCCTCACTTGCTCTGGTGGATCTAATCAAACAAACGCATGAATTCGTCACCTTCTTCTTCAATCATCGTCACTCTCCCCGCGACTGCGACTGCGACTGCAACTGGTTCATCATCTTCTCTGTAACTTTTTAAATGTACCAGAAAATCAAACGAAAAACCAACTCCGCCTGCAAAGCAATCCGATACCGATACCTCTCTCTCTCCCTCCCGTCCGTAATGCCCAGAACCTTAACCCTCGCCCGCTTCAAGGCCCTCCTGTTATTCCTCTCCATTTTCCTCAACCTCTACTTCCTCTTACTCCACGCGCCGCCGGCCGTTCTCTCCCGCTACACTTCTTCCCCCACCACGCGCCTCCACCTCGTCTTCGCCATAGCCTCCTCCTCCGGCTCCTGGTCCCGCCGCGAGCCCTACCTCCGCCTCTGGTGCTCCCCCGCCTCCACCCGCGCCTTCGCGTTTCTTGATCGCGCCCCAATCGACTCCTCCGGCGAGAAGTCCGTTGCTCCGGTCGTCGTCTCCGGTGATACCTCCCGCTTTCCGTACAGTTTCAAGGGAGGGCTCCGTTCCGCGATCCGCGTGGCGCGCATGGTCAAGGAGGTCGTTGATCGCGGCGAGCCGGATGTGAGGTGGTTCGTGTTCGGCGACGACGACACGGTGTTCTTCGTGGAGAATCTGGTGAGGACGCTGTCAAAGTACGATCACGATCGGTGGTTTTACGTCGGGAGCAACTCGGAGAGCTACCAGCAGAATGTCAGGTACTCGTTCGATATGGCGTTCGGCGGCGGAGGGTTCGCCATTAGCCATTCTCTGGCTACGGCTCTGGCGAGGGTGTTCGACTCGTGCTTGATGAGATACGGCCACTGGTACGGAAGCGATGCTCGGGTTTTCTCCTGTGTGGCGGAGCTCGGTGTTGGGTTGACCCATGAGCCTGGGTTTCATCAGGTAGTGAATTTAGTTAATTTTATCTGCAATATCAAAAAAAGTAATTATCTTGATAAGATTTTAAAGATTTAAGCATGCATTATCAGAAAAAGTAATTAACTTTATAAGATTTCGATGATGTAATGCCGAAATTGGTTTTGGTAGGAAGGAAAAGGAAAGTAATTGCTTGATGGTGTTGGATGAACTGATTGTGTTTAATGAAAGCTTTGCTAAGGAATGGTTTCGGCTTTCTTCTATAACTCACCTTTTAGGTGGGGGAGGTCCGTTCGTAGGTGTTCCTTAAATTTATAGAGAGCTACGAAATGGGAGGACAAGGCATTTAGCTCATAGGGCTTCCGAAGAAACAGAATGAATGAACATTAGAACATTAGTTGTATGACTTGAAACAAGTTTATACTACATTTTCTGCTCCTCTGCTTCGTTATGTTTGTAATTGGAATATGATGCAATCGCATTGCTGGTCTGGTTTTCTAGTTTATAGTTTATTTTCAAGTGTACAAACTAAGTTAACGATTTTGTTGTTGATAGGTTGAATTGCTGATTGAGTTATGTTGGATTTCGTTAATGATAACCGGAGTTTTCAGATCATGATATAGTTTTGATTGGTGGTCCTTTGATCATCCGTTGAATCCCATTTGAGCTTGTTACCAATGAGTTGTTGTGAACTTATTTCAAGTTATGTGCTGGATTTTAGGGCACTTATTACTTTCATATTACCAGGTCGATATGCGGGGGAATTTGTTTGGAATGCTATCTGCACACCCGCTGTCACCTTTGGTGTCCCTTCATCATGTAGATGCCACAGATCCAATCTTTCCTAACATGAACAACACCCAAGCTTTGGAACATCTTTTTGAGGCTGTGAATCTTGATCCTGCCAGGATATTGCAGCAAACTGTTTGCTATGACATGTCGCATTCGTTGACTGTTTCAGTTGCGTGGGGTTATGCTATTCAGGTGTATGATGGCAATGAACTCCTTCCAGATCTCCTTTCTCTGCAGAAAACTTTTATGCCATGGAGGAGGAGTGGTAGTATCGATGCAAGTCAGTACACGTTTAATATGAGAGATTATCCTAGAGATAAGTGTAAAAGACCAACTGTATTTTTCCTGGAAAGTGTCGTATCCAATAGCCATGGCATCTGGAGCAACTACTCCAGGCACAATGTGGAAAACTGCTCCAAAGCAAATGCAATAAAGAATCTGGAACAAATCAGAGTGTTCTCACAGAAGCTAGAGTTTGATCCAGATGAGGTATTGCTTCACTAATATTGATGTAAACAATAAGTTTTCTCTCATCTTCAGTTTTAGTCAACGCCATTAACTACTGTCCACTTGTTACAATCCAGATGAAGGCTCAACGCCGTCACTGCTGCGAAATTTTGCCGTCGTTTAATGACTCCATGACTATAAACATTAGACGGTGCAGAGACAATGAGTTAATCTCCATGAATTTCTAGAGTTTTCTGTTGGATAGTTGCTCTGAGTACTCAGTACACTTAAGTAGATGCAGAATTCAGAGAACCACGCACACTTTTGGTATACCGTCATCTTATCAGGGTAAACACTAATGTCTTGTCTTGTTCCTAAATTATGTTTGAGAAGTGCTTAAGGAAACCCTCCCTCTCTCCTCGCATTTCATTCATTCATGTGATTTATATCTCACGATTAGTTGACATAATGGAAAATCTGAGTTTTACTCGTGTTCTCTCTTCATTATTGGGCTATTAAGCTATCGGACATAGGTTGTTCACTTGGTTAAGAATGCTTGAGATTCCTAAATTTTATTTTTATGAAATGGACCTACAAGCGGTCTGTTATACGTGATATTATGTGATGTGATCTGCACTTCATAAAGCTTAAGTTCCTTTTCTTCTTGACAGGAGGAGGAGGAAGAGAATATACTTGGAAGAGATGGCTATTTATCTTCTGATCAAGACTAAAATAATTATTCTGGAATGATGTCCTTGAAAACACTAAATCAAAAGAAAAAGATTTGCCGAAGGGGGAAGTCACTGTGAAAATCTGCTGCCAGTTAAGGTTTCGACATCTGTTAAGGCTCAATCTTGGTTAAACTTTTCAGTGGCTAATTATCTCTGGGAATTTGATGGACAGACAAAAAGGAAGTAGAACGCCATTCACACATCTGCTGGTGGAGACTACCCCAATAAATGTGGAAATCCAGAGGATTGAAATGTAACTAGTGAACTGATAGGTATGTAATGTTTTCATGTCGTAGGGTAACTTACGTTTTGAGACATCAAATGACGAGGAATAGTTTCGAGAATAAACATTAATTCGTTGGATAAGCATGCGAGGGAAATATTCTTCAAATGCTGGCCGCGTTTTCATGCCGCAGTTAGAGTATCTTGCTGATGAACTGTAGATGATAGATTGCAGAGTATAGGGTCTGGTTTTGTAATGTTGGAGCTGGGGTGAATGCCATACTTGGCACGCACACCTATTCCATAATCTGCTTCGTCCTTCGTCCTTCGTCCTTCGTCCTTCGTCCTTCGTCCTTCCTCGTTCAATTATTCTGGATGATAGCCCTTCTTCCAAACCATTGAAGTCTAATGCATGTGCATCCTTTGAATCTGCGAGTAACCTAGTTTGTGAGATTTTAAATTATTTATGAAGCTCCAGCATAGGATGGTGTCATGTTTCTGACTTCTCGGATCTGGTCGTCATAAAACAAATTAGAAATCAAATCTAACTCGGTTGCTTGCGTTACCATGTTTTTGTGATTAATTAGCTTAATGTATCGGGTTTATACGTCTTAATTAGCTGTATCCATGGATCTTGTATCTGAACATTGCTTGTAGATTTTTCTAAGCAAACATTTAATTACGAGCTAGCGGATTGTCACTCAAGTGATTAACAGTAGATACTTGCACTTAAATTCCCGTCGATTTTTACCTTCCAAATATCGTTTGTATAAAAAACATGTAATTTGCATATAAACATATTTTACATGCATTGATCACTCGGGATAATCGTTGGCTACACCGAAAATGCTACTTTTACCACATATTTATACCATCATTTGTACTATTTTTCTAATAGAGATGATACAAATGATAGTACAATTAGGTAGTATGTGTAACATTACTCGAGCTGCACAAGAAACCTCAAATATGTGAGTATTTGTTTCATTGGATTTTTTTTTTTTAAATTACACATAATCTTGGTTATTCATCCAAGAAAAAAATGAAATAAAAGGAGAACTTACAAGCATTCCGTAACACGTTTACACTTTATTTTTGCCAAGCCCGTTAAAGTTATTTTCTTTCTAAATCTTGGATCTGAAGTTGCTGCTTTCTTCACGTTTTGCATTTAACAAAGATGTACATAATTAAATCTTTTGTTTTGCCAAGTCCTAATACGTTTTAACACGTAACCCCTCTTCTTAATCTCTCACACTCCAGTCAATGCCATTGCTGTCAAGTAGCTGACCCTTGACTCTAGTCTAACCTAACGCATCAGCTCGATGCAGAAAAAGAGACACATTGTTTTAGCCAACTTGGTTCAAATTAGGTCTGCGGTTTTTGTTTTCTTTGGGTTGGCAGGAAATGGAGGACTTTTGCGTGAATTCCACGCCTACCCCATGTTCTTTTGGAGATTTGGCTAACTAAATAGACTTTGGTGGAGAAGAATACAGGTCAAAGTTTGCATCTTTCTCTTGCCGTTGATAACGCTTCACAATCGACATCTTGGTTTTGTCCCACACTTGTATTCTCTAGATACATTTCTGTTTTCTTCCTTTGTTCTTCTTACTTTCCTTAAGATGCTGCTGTTTCCTCAGTCGCCTTCGAAAACCCAAAATCCGTCTCGGTTGATAAACCTCTTCATAATCTCGTCTTCCGTCTTCACGCTCTTTCTTCTCGTGTCGTTCTTCCTTGTGTTTACAAGCTCAAAGCTTGCATATATTAGTTCTTTGTCTCAAGATGCGTATTCCCCGCCCTCAACCTCTCTCGAGCACATTGTGTTCGGGATTGCTTCGAATCAGAAATCGTGGTCTGCTAAGAGGAAGGAGTACGTCAGGCTCTGGTGGAAGAACCAATCCATGAGGGGATGTGTGTTTCTGGATAGCCTTCCGCCTGATCATCACCATCACGCCAACGATACCTCTCTTCCTCCAGTGTGTATCTCAGGTGACACTGCTCGTTTTCGTTACACTTACAGAGGCGGTCTCAGGTCTGCTATTCGCGTTGCGCGTGTTGTTTCTGAGATCGTGGCGCTTAACCATACGAATGTGAGGTGGTATGTCTTCGGAGATGATGACACGATTTTTTTCCCGGAGAATTTGGTGAAGACACTATCGAAGTATGATCATGGGCTGTGGTACTACATTGGGACATCCTCCGAAGTTTACGAGCAAAATAGGGTGTTCGGATTTGGAATGGCTTATGGTGGTGCAGGTTTCGCTATAAGTGCCCCGTTGGCAAAAGTACTGGCGAAGGTGTTTGATTCGTGTTTAGAACGATATCCGCATCTCTATGGAAGCGACTCTAGGATTTCCTCTTGCTTGGCAGAGCTCGGCGTTGGGTTAACACGCGAACCCGGTTTCCATCAGGTACCCTTTTCTTCGCTCATCAAATTATATGTGACATTAAATTTCAGTAGTTTAAATCGAAATTTCAGTGTGCTTGTTTGTTTGTTTATATGTCATAGAAATAATACTTTTGGTTTTGGGCTGGGAAAATTGAATCAGAATGACATTCACGGCGATATGTTTGGTCTGCTGGCTTCGCATCCAGTGACACCTTTGGTATCCCTGCATCACATCGATCACGTAAACCCCATCTTCCCCAACATGACGACTCTCAACGCTCTGCAGCATTTGTTTAAAGCTGCCAACGTTGATTCTCAAAGAATGTTACAGAAAACAGTCTGCTATGACAGATGGTTTTCGTGGACTATCATGGTGTCATGGGGTTACGCTGTTCAAGTATACGGAAACCATATTCTTCTGCCGGATGCCCTTCCCGTGCAAGAGACATTCAGCCAGTGGAAAAAGGGAAGTGTTTTAACAGGAGCTTATCTCTTTAACACAAGAGAACATCACAAGGATCCATGTCGAAGGCCTGTTGTTTTCTTTCTGGATGATGTGTCTTCTGGTGCGGGTAGAATCAAGAGCACCTACAAGAAGTCTTACGAAAATTGCTCCTACGACATGGCTTCTCCGAGGAGGTTGGAGGAGGTCAAAGTGTACTCACATAAGCTAGACTTTGATATGAAACAGGTATTGCTTACAATATTTCGGACATACATTGCTCGATCACTTGAACATTGTTATACGTCTTGATGAAACTTATATAATACTAATTCCATGTTTTCGTGAATTAATCAGTTGCAGGCGCCACGAAGACAATGTTGCGATGTATTACCTTCTTCGGGCAACAAGGTGATGGAAATCGAAATCAGAGAATGCAAAGAAGAAGAACTAATACACATGCATCCGTAGGGGTGTTTCGTATTTGCATATAGCCGGATTAATTACACAACATTATTATATCGTCCAGATAAAAAATAACGAATTATTGTAGATGTTAGGAAAATTAATACTACTTAATTGTCTAATCCAATGTAAATTAGGAATGCCATTGTATTCGACATTGAAATGTGTTGTCTCAAATTCGACTGCTTTTGTCATGCCCCGATCCCAACATACGTTTAGGATCGACACGTGACGTCACCAAATACCCGTATCTATCATACCCCTCCTCCGGGATATGGGTAAAGCACAATTCAATAATCGAATCGCATAGTAATTTTTCGTATGCTTTATGGCTGCATCTAACCTCCTTGTTAGACTGCCTATGTACCCTAAACAGGAATCAAGCCATTCATAGTTCGTCATGCACTATAATTGACATATATCACAGTCCGTTTAAGCCGAAAGGCATAACATTTCTCAATCAATCAATAGAACTTGACAAGCATGAAATTACTAGACTCAGGGTTACATAACAAACCCACCTGAAAATCATGATTTCCCTTCCATCTTCTATATAAGTCATTATGTCGCAACATGATACCGCAATTCACAACATATATCATATCAAAGAACCGACGAAGCACAATACAATTTTCTAGCCACATTAATTAACTAATTTGACCAAAATAATAACAACTATAACCATATCTTCTAAATTCATAATTTATGAAATCATAATCGAATCATAGAAAATCCTAAAGGAGTCACCCAAACGTCCAACAGCTTTTCTAATTCAATTCACGAGATTCTCAAAACCATTGCTCACAAATATACTAAAACTAAGGCTAGAGTGACACAGTTAAGCCAAGCCTACATATCTGCAGCTGATATCAAATCTAAGAAACCAACAAGTCAAGTGATGAGACTTTTGTTTGTACCATACTTGACTAATCCCGAAACTACTGAGCACCGATCAATGTTATACCGTCAAGGACCCAGAAGAGTTTCCCTCCAACCAGGAGGCCAATCATAATGCGACACGTGTCGACATCAGAAGCCAATCAATGCGCGACACGTGTCAACATCAGAAGCCAATCACAACACAACACGTGTCAATGTCAGAACAAAGCTAGAAACTCTTCTATAAAAGGAGATCATTCTCCCACAATATTTCCTAATGTGATTTGTACTAAATCATTCACTTGTACTCACTGAAGGAGAGCTTGAACCTATGTACTTGTGTAAACCCTTCACAATTAATGAGAACTCTTCTACTCCGTGGACGTAGTCAATCTGGGTGAACCACGTACATCTTGTGTTTGCTTCTCTGTCTCTATCCATTCACATACTTATCCACATTAGTGACCGGAGCAATCTAGCGAATGTCACAAACTTAACATTTTCTGTTGTACCAAAGTCCTTACTAATTTTGTGCATTGTTGACCACTCAACGAAATCCAAACCAGGAAACGATTCTGGACTATCACTCGACGGAATCGCGGAGTAAAAGGGATTCCGGACCATCACTCAACGAAATCCAAACAAGGATACGATTCCGGACCATCACTCAACGGAATCGCGAAGTAGAAGGGATTATGGATCATCACTCAATGGAATCGTGGAGTAAAAGGGATTCCGGACCATCACTCAACGGAATCACTTGCACTATCAACTTCTCATGACCACTAACTATCTTATCATACAAGCATAAAAGTTATACATAATACTTCTCATAAGATTCTGGGTTCACATCGTCCTAGAAACAATCATACACATCATACTGATCATACATATCTAACCACATTTCATAAACGTTTCCAAGCTACAGTCGAATCACAATTAATAAACATAGATCGATGCTAAAAATAAAATAACACTTCAATAGAAAGCACATTTAATTAACAAGTATAACTCAATATGATGCCACTAATACATATATCGAGACACACATCAACCGAGAACGACACGTCATCGTGATGAGCCAACTAAGTTCCATCAAGCCGCAACAACAAACTAGAGATAAACGATACTCTATAGTATAGCACGTTGACTAGAACGTCAACCGTCGATAAGGTAGGTCCATTAAGATCAACAATATAAGGTTATTCAAACCGGAAGATCCACACATCGGATTTTCGATCCGTAAGTTCTCAAAGGTCCAACAACTAATAACTAAGGTGCTCACAAAATTGTACGACGATCCAACGATCGAATTGTCGTCAATCATAAAAACAAGTGGTGGTCCAATTTGATCACCACATCAAACAATTGAATTTCGGGAAACCGAGCTAGACATAGGTTCATAGGGTCACTAGAAGGTATTTGGTACTTAGACAACACTCGTGGACGGTCCCACGTACCGCTACACGCGGTGGTAGCCAAGGTGGAGGGTTTTGAAAACCTGAATTTTCAATATTAACTAAATGAGCTCAAATTTATGTGGTAGCTAGAGCTCAACAAGGGAAACACTTTTTACAACTAGGCTGACGATAAATTCTAACCAGAAACCGTCCAAATTCGCCGGAGAAATTCGGATTTCTAGGGTTCTAAACACCCAACACTAAAATGAATACGAAAGCACAAACCAAGCATACCAACTTGAAGATTATGAAGAGTAGATGAAGTTTCATACCTCACTCAAAGGAAATGGTTGCCGAAGTCACCGAAAAAATGACAAAATCGCCGGAAACCCACGGAACTTTGCTGCCTCGAACTGGAAAAATGGATAAGAAAATGGGAAATCTAACACTGCAGAGATATAGGGCTCGTCAAAAGCTTTTCATGGACACCAAGATCATCCAAAACGGAGCTCAGATGAAGAAGGTACAAGCGGGTCAAGTTTGTGGGTTAATGGGTCCAATTCACCCCCAAAACGGGTTAGCACCTACCCCCCTTCCCATTTTTTTTCAGAAACCTTCCCCTTTGTAATTTGATTCCTCCTTCTCCTTCTAACTGATTGGTCCTCTTATTTTTGCTTAAATCTAATTAGGCTTCTTCCTTGTGGAAGTTTAAATGATTTAAAATCTATAGTTTAGTAAAACAACTTCAAATGTTCGTAACTATACCGTTATAATTTGGACTCGCAAACGACTTTCACCTATACGTTCATAGTTTCAAGATCTATTCGAAATTATAAATTGTGACCTCGAAAGGTCTACGGATTTTAAATAATTAATTTCCAAACTTCAAATTTCGTAACTAGTTTAATTAAAATCTAAACTCAAACAATTTAAAATAAATTCTCGAGAAATAATATAAAATCTCAATAATACAAATACGTAGATTATAACAGTGAAAACCAAGAACGGGATTTCACAGCTTTCTTGGATGGAGGTTTCAAGGATCCACAAACCTAGGAAAGCCTAAATTCAAGCAAATTTGAGTTGAAATATATACAATGTTGAGTAAGGAGGACACATGAGATTGCTTAAAAAGCATTTCATATGTACCAATACATCAAGCTTTCGCATCAAATATCTTTGTTATATTTATTTACTTTGGGCATAGTTGGATTAAGAAATAATGCACCGTGTGAAAAGAAAAATGGTGGTTTGACTAAGCAAAAGATTCAATCTTTTTCTTTTGTTTATGTTATCTTGAAGTTTGGGACGTTCCTCTAATTAAATTTCATTGTCAATAAGGGAGTAACGTTCGAGTCTTCGATTATTAAGTACACCTGTCTCTCACTTCACGTGGTTGATTTGGAAGTTCCTCTATAGTGCGACATCAAGACACTTCTTACATTGAAAGTGTTGGAATTTATTAGGTTTATTTAGGAAATTTATTAGAGATTTGATGTGATTTTGTAGTAGGGTATTTTTGACATTTATGCATTAGGGTTTCTTAGGTTTATTGCTATATAAATAGAGCTTGTAATTTAGTTTGAGAATCAAGTTATTCACAATGTAGTCTCTTAGCCTTTTGTAACCGTTCCGGCATTCTCAGTTTATTTAATAATATTCTTATTATTCTTGTTAGTCTTGTTCGTTGCGCACTCTGATATTCAACTTGGTATTAGAGCAGATTCGATTCTTCGGAATTTAATCTGTTCTAGATGGGTATCAATTTGTTCATCCGTTTGTCCGCTACGTATCAGTTTGTCATGAAGTTGGTTCGGAAGTGGCACTGGCATGGAAATCTTGCACTGGCACTGGAATCTTGCACTGGCACTGGCATGGAAATCTTGCATTGGCACTAGCACTGGCATTGAAATCTTGCGCTGGCACTGGCATTGAAATCTTGCACTTGCATCGGTGAAATTTCATATTGAAATTGGCATCGGAAATTAGCATAATGAAGTCTTGCAACCGCATCTGCTTGTTGGCAACCCCATGTCATGTACCGCTATGAGTTTGACGGGGGTGTTGGAATTTATTAGGTTTATTTAGGAAATTAATTAGAGATTTGATTTGATTTTGTAGTAGGGTATTTTTGGCATTTACGCATTAGGGTTTTTTACGTTTATTGCTCTATAAATAGAGCTTGTAATTTAGTTTGAGAATCAAGTTATTCACAATGTAGCCTCTTAGAGTTTTGTAGCCGTTCCGGGCATTCTCAGTTTGTTTAATAATATTTTTATTATTCTTGTTAGTCTTATTCGTTGCGCACTTTGATATTCAATTGAAAGGTCACCAGTGCATTGAACTGTATCGTAAATCGAATCGATGTTAGGTTTCTAGAATTGTAGCTTCCCATGAGCATATGAAGGTGATTAAACATAAAATTTTGTACATAATCGAGTAACAAGTCACAAACTTTTTCATCGAACAATGGGGGTGCATCAACGAATTTGGCGTCTTTGTCACGTAAAGAGCATTGTTCGTGTCACCGTCACTAGGTATATGTATGTGCATCTGCTCGGTATTTCACAAACAAACCTTTGTACCAAATAATAGCACCTTGACTTGGAGGACATCGCTTCCGAAGATCTCGATCTACTTAAAGTACACATATACAACGTAAATTCCAAATCAACCTATTCAAGTTGGTTTCTCATGTCCCGAGTAAGAAGCTCCAAACTTATGAAGGGAAAAATAAAGATAAGAGACTCGAAATGGTTAGTATTTTCGACGAAAATATGTTGAATATAATTGAATTAATCCTAACGCGTGTTTGACGCGAAATGCCCTAAACACAAACATGTTGACTTCGCTCGCGCATTGACGACACTCAGCAAGGCGTGTGAACAAAACTCAACAGGTCTCTCTCACATTTCCCAATTTTCTATTTGCCTATATATGCCTGTTGGCCGGCCAGGAGTGAACATCGCATTTAAAAAAGAAGAAGGAAGCCATTGTTTTTTTCCAAGTCGTTGCTTAGAAACGAGTACGTACTTGTTTCACTTTTGTATTTCTCTCTTAACTTGGTTGCTGAGAGGATGGTCATGTACGTCGTGTTTACTTTGACTCTTTCATGGTATGCGACATTTGGATTTTATGTTTGGTGTTACTTTGATCTTCGTAGAAACAATGATATTAAAATTATGCAGACCTAATGAACTACACGTAGTCAGATTCCGAAAACTACATTATGCATATATAATCTTTCTTTCACCATTTTTAAATATAAGTACTTGCTTTATATTCAAACCATTTTATTGTTTTTTATTTCTCCATATATAAATTATATTTTCGATGACGAAACGTCGCGGAACATGTGAATGCATGTGCTAGTATGTTGTTCTACTTAGAATGTTGCAGGGGACAAGTTTATTCAGCATTGGGGTTTAATTTGCTGCAATTTTTTCTGCTCCTAATCCTTTTTATCATCTTTTAAAATGAAATTTCTTGCATTATACGTTTCTTATTTTCTCCTTATTTCATGCATTCTTCAAATTTACTATCCCGCTAAAGCGCAAACGATTTACTCTTTTTCGAACTGTAACACCGCTGCCAATTACTCTTCCGGGAGTGTCTACGAGCAAAACCTAAATCTTACCCTCACTTCCCTTGTTGCCAATGCATCTCAAACTGGATATTACATCACAAGCATTGGTCAGAACAACGATGTGGTTTATGGCCTTGTTCAATGCCGCGGCGCTCTCTCTAAAATCGATTGCCAAGCTTGTGCAAATATAGCAGCAACTGAGATCAGGCAATTCTGTTTTAGCAAGAAGGAGGCTTCGGTTGGCTATTTAAATTGCTCGTTGCAGTATTCGGACCGACGTTTCTTCTCTACCTTCGACAGTTCCCCGAGGTTGACCTTATACTACAATCAGACAGCAAATGACCCAGTCTTTTTCAGAAGTCAGGTAGACAACTTGGTTAACAACCTATCATCAAACGCTGCATCCAATCCTTCAAAATTTGCTATCGGGGTCACCAATTACACGGATTCCAAAGATTTATATGGCATGACTCAGTGCACCCAAGACCTAGCAGAAAACAGCTGCTTAACGTGCCTGCAGCAGATTGCCAGTTATGTACCGCCGGATGGATTTGTTGGGTATACACTAATTTCTGAGAGCTGTTTTCTCCGGTATGAGATATATTCATTTTTCCTGTCACCAATTCAACATCCACCACCTCTAGCGGCACCCTTTCCATTTCCTAATTCAACTCCATTTCCTAATTCAACTACTACTGGTGGCACTAATAAGACTACTGGTAAATTTTTAGGCTCTTTTGATGCATTCAAAAGCTTCCTGTCATGCACATGTAATATCTGCAAGATGGTTTTCCAACGGGAAATGATTTCTGCACATTCTTTTCTCCTTATGCACGTATACCCTGTTTATTTTTGTTCCTTGATTTTCCTTTGCTTTATTCGATTCCAATGCCAGAAATAAGCAAGGGTGTGCATCAGGAAAAAGTGGAAATCATTTCCCTTTATCCAATTCCTCAAAGTTAACTAGTATGTTAGTCTTGATAAGAATCAATTGCATCAAATCAATCATCATGTTATTAACTTTGTCAGCATACGAAACTTTTAGTTTTATGAATTGAGTACTCCTTTAGAGAATTAGATATGAATAGAGTAGTAATAATTTCAAGTTTATGCAGGAAAGGAGAAGATTTCAAAAACCATAGTCATCATAGTTATCCCACTTCTTTTGGGATTGCTTGTGGTAGCCACAAGCTGCGCTTGTTTCTTGTTGTGGAAAAAGACCAGGAGAAGTGGAGTTGGTAAGTAGAACATACATGCTTCAATCGCAAACGTTAACTTATATTATAGTTTAGTTTTTATTTTTATACCTGCAATATTGGAGAAGGGCGAACCGAAACTAGGACTTCTCCAGCGTATACATTCACTTGAGCTACAAGCTTTCTGAAGACTAACTTATATGCCCCTGAAGACATTAACTTTGCATATTTTCATGCAGATTATCTTTCGGATGTTCGTGAAGATGGTAACAATAGTAGGGATGCACTTTTGATTGGATTAAATACACTTAAAGTTGCAACCAGCAATTTCTCAATAGCATATAAACTCGGAGAAGGCGGATTTGGTCCAGTTTACAAGGTACTTGCAGTTCAGTTGTAATCAATGCATTCTCTACAATTTTATGACATTTGTGTAAATGACTGTGTCCATATATACACCTCTAGGGAAAACTGCCCGATGGACAGGACATAGCAGTGAAAAGGCTGTCACGTAGTTCAGGCCAAGGTCTAGCAGAACTAAAAACGGAAGTAATTCTAGTTGCTAAGTTACTGCATCGGAATCTTGTAAGACTGTTAGGGTTCTGCTTAGAAGATGAAGAGAAGCTACTCGTCTACGAATACCTACCCAACGGGAGCTTGGACAAGATTTTATTTGGTATGAATTATCAGTTCCTTAGTTGTTTGCTTTTAATGGAGAATCAGTATGAATTACCAGTCCCTTAGTTGTTTGCTTTTAATGGAGATTCAGTATTTTTCTTTCTTGATCACAATAATGTTATGTTCTTATTAAACTTAAACTCTGAATATAGGTCAGGGGAGAACATTTAGTTTGGAATGGGAAAGAAGGTTCAAAATCATTGTAGGAATTGCTCGAGGGCTACTTTACCTGCATGAAGATTCTCAGCTTCGGATTATACATCGAGATTTGAAAGCCAGCAACATCCTGTTAGACGAAGACATGAACCCCAAAATATCTGATTTTGGTTTAGCCAAACTGTTCGGCGAGAGCCAAACTCATGGCAATACGAACCGGATTTCTGGTACTTTGTATGTCACAAACTTAATACCTAGTTAGATATTTACTGCTTATTGCTTGATACATGATCTCTAACACTACATTCACGATGTGCAGTGGATACATGGCACCAGAATATGCTAAAACTGGAAAATTTTCAACCAAATCTGATGCCTTTAGCTTTGGGGTTTTAGTTCTTGAAATTATAACAGGTCGGAAGAACTCTAGCTTCCGCACCTTCTCAAATCTACAAAGTTATGTAAGTACGTAAAAAATAATTGACATGATTAATGATTGAGTTTCACAACATGACAACATATATAACACGTTAACTTGACTGAACAAATTTCTTAAAGTTATATTGACTTGAAGTTAACACTTGAAATTGTCACATAGGCATGGCAACATTGGGCAAATGGAACATCATTGGAGCTATTGGATCCGAGTTTGGGAGACCAGTGGCCTAGATATGAAGTTTTGAAGTGCATCCACATTGGGTTGTTATGTGTTCAAGAAGCTGCGGCTGAAAGACCTACTATGTCAGAGGTTGTTATGATGCTCAATAGCTACACTATTACCTCCGTCGTGCCTTCGCAGCCAGCATTTTATGTCCGACAGGAAAGCTCCGCCAACTCACAGAACTTAGCTGCATCTGAGCTCGATATGTTATCAGAAGCAGCTCAATCAGTAAATGATGTTACAGTCTCTGAACTCTATCCTCGCTAGGTTAGCTAGCAATTGCGCAATGTCCTAATAACTGGATAGATATTAGATATCTCTTCTAGCTAGCTACCTAGCCACAAAGTAGATTAAACACTCAAATTATTAGTCTATGGGAATATTTTTGCTCAACACACTCAAGTAATGGTGATGTTCACCACCCTATATATCACTGTTTGATGAGTTTAAACTTTAAAATTTATGTCTATTCACCACTTGATGATGGTAAGCAAAAATGGACTCTTAGTTTGCTGTTTCTCATTTTTTGTTATACAAAAATGTAGGTCCTCAAAGAAACTTAGAAAATTATGTATACATACTTTGATTTGATTTTTATTGATCAGTAGAGTAGATGATGTCAACTTGCTCAAATTGTCAAACCACTAATACCAACTTATCTTCGATGAACTCCTTAGAAGCTCTAGCAAGATTTTACTTTCGCTAATGTAGGACGACTCTTTTTACTTTCACATTCTCGAAAAAAAAACAACCACTAAAGAACAATTTTCTTTGCTTGACATCGACTTTGCAGGCCAGGGGAAAGGCAATTGTTTACACCAAATTATTAACATTCATCACAGAATGTTTTCTTTTGTGGTGATCTACTGAGATTTTTACAGTTCTCTCCTGTCCCCATTGTTGAAATCTTGTTTACCAAACCAAAATTTGGTGTACCTTTATCTTTTTTGGTAAACCAAACCATAATTTGGTGAAGCTATAATTTAATGTTCTTCCATATCATGCAGATTCCATCAGCTGCTGAAAGTTTGTAGTGGAATATGTGAGCATTTTTTGTTTTCAGTAGTAACTTATAGATTCTATTTTCAAAGCAATTTTTCAATATATTTGAAACACGATCACATGACGTTATATTCTACATAAATTATAAGAAACGAATTTATTTTGTTAATATACCTTAAAATAAGACTTATTCTTATTTCAACATGTAAAAATTTGGTGCCATCTTTTCGTAATATTGCATGGGGTCTCATTGAAGCTGCATCTTCGTAATTCTTATGAATCTAAGTTTTTTTTTTCATGAAACAGAATATATGAGTGCTTGTTGGTTTGGTTAGTTGTGCAAATATGTGGAAATAAAACGTGTTAGTGTTTGATTGGACCACTTCATGGTATTTTTCTAATATACTTGAAACATGATCACTTGATGTTATATTCTACATAAATTATAACAAGCGAATGCATTTGGTACAATATTAACTCTGTCGTTCATTTTTATTATAACACGTGAAAATTTGGTACAATCTTTTTGTAATATTGCATGGGGTCATTATTTCATTGGACCACTTCACGGTAGCTTCATACTTTTTCTTATTTAACATTCTGCTGGGTTGGAATATTAGATTAGGTGAACGATATATATACCATACGAATGTGAGGTAGTATGTCTTCGGAGATGATGACACGGTTTTTTCCCCTGGGAATTTTGGTGAAGATACTTTCAAAGTATGATCATGGTCTGTGATACTACTTTGGGTCAAACTCCAAAGTTTACGAGCAAAATAGGGTATTCAGATTTGGAATGGCTTATGGTGGTGCAGGTTTCGCTATAAGTCCCCGTTGGCAAAAGTACCGGCGAAGGTGTTTGATTCGTGTTTAGAACGATATCCGCATCTCTATGGAAGCGACTCTAGGATTTCCTCTTGCTTGGCAGAGCTCGGCGTTGGATTAACATGCAAACCCAATTTCCATCAGGTACTATTTGTTGAGAATAAATCTCACATTGATATAATGAGGGATCTTGCAAGGGCTTTTAAGTAAGTTAAACTAATCTTCATATTGTCAATTGATTTTATGGTGGAACCTCAACTTTCTTTCGGTATCAGAGCAGATTGGCCCACGTGTGAAGCCGTTGCCACATGTGCTCCAAGTCACCCAATTTGTTGTGTGTCCACGTATTTGGCTTGAAAATTCGCTACATATGAGGGGGCGTGTGAGAATTTGAAGATAAAAGAGTCACATGAAAGAAGAAACCTTGCAAACTCTTATAAGAGGTTGGGCTACTTCTCATACATCTAATTTGTTTTATGGTAGAACCTCAACTTTCTTTACCATTTTCTTAGCTCATCAAATCAAATGCGACATTCACATTTTAGTAGTTTTAATTTGAAATATCCGTGGGCTTTTTGTTTGTTTCTATATCATAGAAATAATATTTTGGTTTTGGGTTGGAAAATTGAAACAGAATGACATTCACGGCGATATGTTTGGTCTGGTGGCTTCGCATCTAGTGACACCTTTGGTATCCCTGCATCACAAAACAGGAGTTTATACTTTTAACAAAAGAGAACATCACAAGGATCCGTGTCGAATGCCGGTTGTTTTCTTTCTGGATAATGTGTCTTCTGGTGCGGATAGAATCAAGTGCGTCTACGAGAAATATTACGAAAATTGCTTCTACGACATTGTGGAGCCTAAAATAATTCAAAAAATTCCAAATGTGACATGTGGACTTTTATTCAAGAAAGACAAGATTGTCCTCAATAAATGGGCAGACTTCTCAGATGCTCCTACTCACACCCCTGGAGGTTTTAGCAGCTAAATACGATTGTCCACATCTCACATGTCTTTGGCAATAAATTAAAGATAATGATTAATTACCCAAATCTTATCTTTAATACATTCCCAATTAAAGATTAACTCCAATCAAGTAAGTAATTATAATTTAAATAAATTAAAGATTATCACATTATTATCTCAATATATTATTTCCTATTTAATATCTTGGGAATATTTAGAAAATATCTCTCCATTAAACATTATGACTGACCCTAAAAAAGCCCTAAACACTTTACTCTCTCGGAAAAACTAACTTAGGCATCGGAGATCCATTGACCTAACCCCCCCCATCTCGTGGGCGTGTGAGGCTTAGGTCTCTAATAAAAAGTGTTGATTGTTTTGCAGGTGCATTTTTGTCAAGACTGAAGACAACGGAAATTTGCATTGACAAATTAGTGCTTTCATTGAGAGCTGATTCAAAATACTCGAAGAAGCCTCTCGCATTTGTTTTTTGAATTTTCTATTACGTTGAATTTCTCACACGTCGTATCAATTAATTTTTTTTAGAAAAATTTCTTGATCAATCCCTGGAGAAAGGATACAATGGTAGGAAGTTCAGCTCAATGGGCCCAAGCTCAAGTGGGTCAAAGAAGTGAAGCTCAACCTCACTACAAAGAACTTGCATCCCGTCATTGAAGATGAGACAGACAACTTGGTTAGCGAAGCTGAGAAAACCACTACTATGATCTTCATCCAAAGACATATTCATGATGCCCTGCAAACCGAGTACCTTGCTGAGGAGGATCCACGAGCACTATGGGTCGCTATGGCTGATCATTTTGATCACCAAAAGGACATTTTCTTGCTTGAAACAAGACATGATTGGCAGCATTTGTGCTTCCAAGACTTTAAGTCTGTGAATGAATATAATTCTGAAGTTTGTATTCGACCTTCTCTGCCATTAATATTGCCATGCAACAACAATATAGAGCTCAGAAGTTTATCAAGTTTTTTTATTTGATTTCTATTTTACTTCTCGCTGAAAAGCAGAATCAGTTGTTAATGAAAAATCATCAAGCTCGACCTACTGGGGCGACTGTCGTGCCTGAAGCACACTATAGCACGAACCAACACCCAAAACATCATCATAGGCATGGCAGAGGTGGCCAAAAGCCACCCCATCAAGGTCAACATAGCCAAGGCCCACCTAAGGAAGGAAACAGCCCAGAAGCGCCTTAACCTTGTTCCCAAGGCCCCAAACTTCAGGAATAAGGGCAAAGCATCTGAAACCATGGATGCAGACATGTGCTATCTCTGTGGTTCAAAGAACCATTGGTCCCATGTTTGCCAAGCTCCCCAGAAGGTTGTAACTAAATATCATTCTCGTCACAAGAAGTTTGAATCAAACTTTATGCAAGTGGACGAACTGGATAGTACCAAGATGGAGATTTCTAACTTTCAAGAAGTCGTTACCCCTATGGAATATTAGAATCCTATACATAAACTATTTTTCTAGTTGAATTTTAGACATCAGGGCCGAATTTCACATAGTGGCCGAACCCTTCCTTTGTGTTTTTGGTTAAATTTTGAACAATTTCCTTTTATGATTGGATTATTTGTTGGTGATTTATTTTTGGATATTGAGTTTTAATTTGTTACCATCCTTGAAAACTTAAATTATTTTGAATGGATATTTGTTTTTAAGAACTTTTATGCATGTAACCGATTCAAATTAATTTTTCATTCTAGGTATGACTAGTGGAGAAGCTAGTTGTCTGGTAGATAGTGCAACCACGCACACCATTTTGCGTGACTGCAACTATTTCACTAACTTTATACCTAAAAATGCACCTCTGACAACCCTCTCATGCCCATCTAACCTGATCGAAGGATACAGTAAGACACGTATAATGTTGTCTAGTGGTACAATTTGGACCATTGATGAAGCACTTTATTCTCCACATTCTGAAAGAATGTTGTTGAGTTTTAAGGACATTAGAGATAATAATTACCACACTGAAACCTATGTAGAAAATTGAGTTGAATTTATGTGCATAACTTCCTATAAATATGGCCAGAAACGTATTCTAGAGAAGATGAAATGTATCCTAAGTGGTCTGATACTACGACCATACGCCCTTTAGAGAGCCATTATGTGGTCAACCCTACCTCTGGGACCGCGCACGAAATTTGGCATGATCGTTTGGGACATCCTGGATGAACAACGATGCTTCGTATCCTCAAATCACACACAGGAATCCACTAATCCATTAAGCCTTCTTATAACAAAATTTGTTCGAATCATCCCATTTTCTACAAAGGATTCAGGGGGACATTTGTAGACTAATTCACCCTCTATGTGGACCATTTAGATATTTTGGTTTTGGTTTACGCTTCCACATGTTGGTTACACGTGTGTTTGTTATCCACAAGGGACACTGCATTCTCCAAAATATTGGCTCAGGTTATCAAGCTAAGGACTCACCACCCTGATTACCCGATCAAATCTATTCGATTGGATAATGATGGAGAATTCATATCTAAAACTTTTGATGATTATTGCATATCGGTTGTGGTTAAAGTTAAACATCCAGTACCCCATGTTCACACCCAGAATAGCTTGGCAGAGGCATTCATTAATCACTTACAAATGATTGTTCGATCATTAGTCATTCATACCAAGCTCCTGATCGCTGCTTAGGGTTATGCAATATTGCACGCAGCCATGTTGGTCCGCCTGAGGCTTGTTGCAACCCAACCATGTAACGCCCTTCAGTTGGTTACCGGATACGAACCTAACATATCACATCTGCGTGTTTTTGGTTATGCAGTCTATGTACTGATTTTTTCGCCCTTACATACAAAAATGGGGCCTCGGCGAATGGTGGGAATCTATGTCGGATATGATTCTCCTTCGATTATTCGTTACCTAGAACCTTTGACAGGCGATCTGTTTACCGCTCGTTTTGCGGATTGTCACTTCTATGAGACAGTTTTCATGTTGTTAAGGAGAGATAAGAACACCAATGTTCCTAAAAAATGATGCGAATTATCATGGACGACTCCTATTTTGTCTCATTTAGATCCCTACACTGCTAGTATGAAATTGAAGTGCAGCGTATATTAGATCTCCAAAGCATAGCTCAGAGCATGCCAGATGTTTTCACCGGTAGCGCGAGTGACAAGATCACATATTCCAGCTACAAATGTGTCTGCAAAGATGGATGTACCAAATATACGATGGACTTCCCTCTTGGAGGCCCGGGACACTACTTTGACCAATCCACATACATTTGTGGCTAGCCAATCATCTGCTCGTACACAAAAGTGTGACAAACTTCTTGGTTTAAATGATTCACACCCCCGGAAAAAGAAACCCATGGCACAGGCTCCTGCTGAGCTTACCGTGCATCCGACTGTCACTTACTCATTTTATCCAACTTATGAGAAAATTCTAGATTACGGAAGAGTCCTTAAAGAGACTAATCCACCTACTGAGAATTGTGAGATTTCGGTCTATTATGCTAGCTTAGATGATGTGTGGTGTAGAAATGAGATGATCGTCGACGATGCATTAGCATATGCAGTAGCTGCGGAGATCATGTTGAGCAATGACATTGAACCCTGTTTCATTGATGAATGTCGACGTATAACCGATTGGTTAAATTGGAAACAAGCAATCTAAGTCGAATTCAATTCGCTTGCGGAATAAGGTGTTTGGACTTGTAGCTTATTCTCCTCCACATGTGAAACCCGTTGGCTACAAGTGGGTTTTTGTTCAAAAGCATAATGAGAATAATGAAATTGTGCAGTATAAAACTCGTCTTGTTGTGCAAGGCTTCTCACAATGCCAGGGGATTGACTATGACAAAACTTATTCACCTGTTATGGATATGATTACTTTTTGCTACCTTATCAGTTTGGTAATTTCTGAAAAACTGAGTATGCAACTAATGGACATAGTAACTGCGTATCTCTATAAAGATCTTGATATGGAAATTTACATGAAAGTTCCCAAAAGACTTCCGTTGACTGGATCAAATATTTCCAAACCCCGGAACACGCTCTCTTTCGGCAAAGGTGTTCACTATATGGTTTGAAGCAATATGGAAGAATGTGATATAACCATCTAGGTGAGTATTTGACTAGTCAGGGATATGTGAACAACGATCTATGCCCTTATGTGTTCATTAAGAAGTCATATTTTGGTTTTGTGATTGTTGCAGTATATGTCAATGACATGAATTTCATCGGAACTCCTGAAGAGCTCGCGAGCACTGCTGCGCACCTGAAGTCGGAATTTGAGATGAAAGATCTAGGAAAAACTCGATATTGTCTCGGTCTCGAGATAGAGCATTGTTCATATGAGATCTTAGTACATCAATCGAACTATACCCAGAAGGTGTTGTGCTGCTTTAACAAGGATAAAGCGAAGTCTTTGAGTACTCCTATAATCGTTCGATCGCTAGATGCAAAATGAGATCCCTTCCTTTCGAATGAGGATGATGAATAGATTTTGGAGTCTGAAGTTCCTTATCTATGTGTGATAGGTATTTTATTGTACTTAGCTTAATGCACTAGACCCGACATCTTCTTTGTTGTTAATCTTTTGGCAAGATACTGTAATGCACCAACACGCAGACACTAGACTGGCGTTAAAGACATTTTCCACTACCTTAAGGGTACTACGGATTTGGGCTTATTCTATCCCTATAGATCCTCGAGTGATGCCGCACCCCCTTTTCTTGAGTCCATTCTCGCCTTGTTGGTTATACTGACGCATGATACTTATTTGATCCGCACAAGGCACATTCTCAAACGGGTTATTCTTTATCATTGGAGGCACCGCAATCTCTTAAAGGTCAACTAAACAGATCTTAGTTACCACTTCGTCTAACCATGCTGAAATTCTTGCCTTACATGAAGCAACTTGGGAATGTTTTTGGTCGAGAGCAGTTGTAGGCCATATTCGAAACTTTTATGATCTTTACCTCGTCGTTGATGTCCCTACAACGATCTATGAAGATAACGCAGCATGCATCGAACAACTCAAGAAAGGTTACATCAAAGGAGACAACACCAAGTACATTATGCCGAAGTTCTTTTTCTTACATCAACAACAAAAACTTCGGAAGATTGAAGTCACGCAAATCCGTTTACAAGACAATATGGCCGACCTCTTCATCACTGCAGAAGACGATATTTCAAAAGCTTGTTCATAGAATTGGTATGCCTAAACTTCCTAAAGTGAAGCCTTTGAGTACTCCTATAGTCATTCGATCGCTATATGCAAAATGAGATCCATTCATTCTGAATGAGGATGATGAAGAGATTTTGGAGCCTGAAGTTCCTTATCTAAGTGTGATAGGCGTTTTATTGTACTTAGCTTAATGCACTAGACCCAACATCTCTTTCGCTGTTAATCTTTTGGCAAGATACAGTAATGCATCAACACGCAGACACTGGACTGGTGTTAAAGAAATTTTTCGCTACCTTAAGGGTACTACGGATTTGGGCTTATTCTATCCATATGGATCCTTAAGTGATGCCGCACCCCCTCTTCTCGAGTCGATTCTCACCTAGTTGGTTATGTCGACGCATGATATTTATCTAATCCGCACAAGGCACGTTCTCAAATGGGTTATGTCTTTATCGTTGAAGGCACCGCAATCTCTTGGAGGTCAACTAAACAGACCTAAGTTACCACTTCGTCTAACCATGCTGAAATTCTCGCCTTTCATGAAGCAACTTGGGAATGCTTTTGGTTGAGAATAGTTGTGGGCCATATTTGAAGCTCCTGCGATCTTTACCTTGTTGTTGATGTCCCTACAATGATCTACGAAGACAACGCAGCATACATCGAACAACTCAAGAAGGGTTATATCAAATGAGACAACACCAAGCACATTATGCCGAAGTTCTTCTTCTCACATCAACAACAAAAACATCAGAAGATTGAAGTCACGCAAATTCGATCACAAGATAATATCGCCGACCGCTTCACTAAATCATTGTCGAAGACGACATTTCAGAAGCTTGTTCATGGAATTGGTATGCTTAAACTTTTTTAGTTGTAACATTACTAGTTTTCTTTGGAATTGTGTCAAACTCAGAGAGAGTATCCTGAAGTATACCTGCTTGATCTTAATATACTTTTTTTCCTACGATTAGGAGCATTTTTCCCATTGGGTTTTTACTACCTAACTAGGTTTTAACGAGGCACCCATCTTAGGTTGATCATATCCCTGATGACTTCCTGTAGATGTTTCATTTGATTTTGCATTGTTCACGCATTTTTCCTTAGATTATGAATTTTGTCCCTACTCGGGTTTTTGCCATAGCCTTAGGGTTTTTTTTTTTGTGAGACTTACTTCCTTATGCAAGTTCCTACCTTATTTGAGAATAGCATGTTCCCAAAATCAGTGCCGACAAGTTGACTTCCTCAACTTCTACATGATGCCGAATCTACTTGAGATTTTGCACACTCAATGGGGAGTGTTATAAACTTCTAATTTAAGTGTGATTGTGTAAATCCTAGATTATATTTGATTCTAGTTATTCTTTCCTATATGGTCTTGTATTCCTTGGAGATGAATGATTTCTTCTCTCCCTTATTACTATAAATAAATGCACTACTTTGGGGGGGGGGGGGGTAACACATATCCCTACAAACACATTCTCTCTACAATCTATCTCCTTGCCGCCGGCCCCCTTCCCCAGTCAGTTAAATATAGGTCCCAACAAAAACAATTTTTTTTTTTTGGAATGTTAGTAGAATAAGGGATCCACTATTAAAATGAATTAAAAATAAATTTGACAAAAGAAAAAAAACATCGCACGATAAGATCAATCGAAACTGGGTTTTACATTTTATCTTTCCATATTACAAAGACCCATCTTTGTAATTAGGTCACAAAGGACCCCCTTGGGGGGGCTAATAGAATAATGCGTGCATCACGAATATTTATTGTTTTTATTTATTCGTTGTTCCTCTTTCTTTCATTGAATAATATCTACTATTGTTACTTGTTACTGGGTGGCCAATCAATTCCTAAAAAAAAAAAAGATTCCAACAAAAAACATCTTATACAACCACAAAACGTTCAAATTTGACTTCAAATCACAAAGCCTTCAAATCTAGTTAGCAAATAACATTTTAGTTTGAGAGACTTTTGATGTCAAATATGTACAATGGCATTCCACCTATGATTTTGACATCTCCTTTAGAGATGCTCTTATAAAGTTATGTATACATACTTTGATTTGATTTTTATTGATCAGTAGATGTTGTCAACTTGCTCAAATTGTCAAACAAGTAATACCAAAATTATTTCTTATGAACTGCTTATAAGCTCTTACAAGATTTTACTTCACTAATATAAGACTTTTTTTTACCTTCAGATTCTCGTAAAAACAACCACTAAAGAACAATTTTCTTTGCTTGACATGCATGCTGCAAGCCAATGGAAGGCACAATTTGTTTACACCAAACTACTAGCATTCATCACTGAATGTTTTCTTTTGTGGTGATCTACTGAGATTTTTACAGTTCTCTCCTGTCCCCATCGTTGGAATCTTGTTTACCAAACCAAAATTTGGTGAACCATTTGCTTTTGGTAAACCGAACCAGAGTTTGGTGAAGCTATAAGTTCATGTTCTTCCATACATGCAGATTCCATTAGCTGCTGAAAGTTTGCATTGGAATATGTGAGCGTTATTCTCTTTTCAAAGCAAATTGTCAGAATATTTGAAACATGATCACATGACGACGTTATATTCTACATAAATTATAATAAATAAATTTATTTTGTTAATATATTTTAAAATAAGACTTGTCTACTATGTCATTTATTATTATTATAATACGTACAAATTTGGTACATTCTTTTTGTAATATTGCATGGGGTCTAGTTGAAGCTGCATCCTCGTAATTCTTATGAATCTATGTGGGTTTTTTTAGGAAAACTAATGAAAATGGTTTGAAAACTTTGAGTTTTAACAAAAATGACAAAATAAAGGGTAAAGTAAATAGTACCATAATTGACTTTTTAGTGTAAAAATGTAGTTTTTTTGTTAAAATAAACAATACCGAAAACTTTTCGTTAAAGTTCTTTTTTTTTTTGGGTGAAACACAATATATGGGTGCTTGGTTTGGTTAGTTGTGCAAACATTTGGAAATAAAACGTGTCGGTATTTCATTGAACCACTTCATGGTAGCTTAATTATTTTTATTATTTAACTTCTGCCGGGTTGGAATGTTAGATTAGGTGAATCGATGTATACCCACTAAACATGCATGAAGATGAAGTCAGCCACCTTCTTCATTAACTGTTTAACGTGGAAGCCATAAACCACTCCATTTGCGCAAGTTAATTTGGCTTGGCTCTTTTGTTTTTCATGTCTACTTTTTTGCTTTTGTTAACAAAATTTAAACATCAGATTTAGTTTTACACCGCCACGTAAAAGTGTTATTCAACTCAAATCATGACACTTATGTTTTTTGTTTTAATGTACTCTAGAAATGTAATATATCAACATTTATATACTTATACTATAAAAATAATACACTACGATACATGTTAAAATTTATCTTCACTTTAATTGTTTATAGATTTTAATTATGTATTCATTAAAAAAAAACATTAAATTATGTCAAGAAGTTAATATATGAATCCACATTCAAAACAATGCTTGAATTAATAATTCACATTAAATAGTGACAAGAAAAAATTGAACTATTTACTCACTATGTTATCTACATAAAGAAAGATAGGTAGTGTTATCCACACAATCATTTTTACTTCTTACACAACCTTCATAATTTTTAACCGAATCGAATAAATTAAAGAATATCAATAATAAAAATTTAATAAGTATGTGCAGAAGGTAAAAATAAGTATGTAAATAAAGTATCCGAAAGATATCATTGTTGTGGTAGAAAAAGAATATATATTTGTACCAACATGAGCCTACAACTTATCCTTGCCTAGTCATCATGACACTTGACCAACTAAAACAACTAAACCCTAAATTAATATTATCTTCACTTTCAAATGCCTCTTCTTTTTCCTTCGACCTCTCTATATGTATGTGGTTGGCTCTCTCTACTACTTCATTCTATTCTTCAACTTATTCGCCCTTTCATTACTAATTAAGTAAAATATGGCAGCTCCAAGAACCACATTGATGAACCTGGTTATTGTGACCATGCTCATAGAATCGGCCATGGCAACCACTTACACAGTCGGAGGTCCGAATGGCAGGTGGGATTCAACTACTGATCTTAAAACTTGGGCATCGTCACAGTCATTCTTAGTCGGAGATAATCTCAGTAAGTTGTTTACAAACCCAAAGATATTGATTGGAAATATCTTATAGTATAGGAGTTGATATTCGGACACTTCAACTAGTCAACATTGAGAAAAAAAAACAGTGAAGAAAGGGAAGACCGCGTGATGAGGATTTTGAAGTGCTACTACCATAATTTTATCTGATATTTACTTAAATTAACAAATACCTTTTGTATGTACGCAGATTTTCAGTACTCAACAAAGCATGATGTGATTGAAGTGCCAAAGGCAGACTATGATTCTTGTCAAGCAAGGAACTCAATTCAGTCTTACAGTGGTGGAAGCACTACCATTACTCTATCTTCTCCAGGCAAAAGGTATTTCATCTGTGGAACAACTGGACATTGTAGCCAAGGAATGAAGCTTGAAGTCAACACTCTTGCAACTTCTGCCGCACCAGCAGCTTCTCCTATAAGCCCTTCCCCACTAGAATCTCCTTTAGTTCCAACTCCTTCGCCGGCTACTCCTAGTTTGGCTCCGGAACCTTCTATTGCCTCGCCGGCAGAACCGGTACCACAATCTGCTCCCACATTGTCCCCTACTCTGCCATCTGGATTGCCCATCAGTCCTGCATCAGACCCTACCGATCACATTCCTTCAACTGAAGCTCCTAGTTCCATTTCTCGAACCGGGTCTTCACCGCAACCTTCTGCTTCATCACCAAACTACAAAGGCGGTCTCCCAATCAGTCTCACCGTCGCTTTCAGCGTTTTGATCATGTTGTTGCTAGCCCACTAGGGTTTTAAGCAAGGAAGATTTACGTAATTGTTCATGAAGAATGTATTTATTTGTGTGACAAAATTTCCTCAGCATTTTATTCCAATTTTATACAATATTTATAAGATGTTCAAGCTATAACTAAAAATCCAGTTTTACTTGGAAATTGTAAGTACTACTAGCTAGCTACTACATAAGTTGGTTACTTTTTTTTTTAATATACATTAAGAAAAAAACCAAGATTATTGGAATATAGAAATACCCCATTGATTGTATGATTTTAAAGATTTTGAAACATTCGAACCAGATTAGTTGAAGCAGACGCAACTGCACCGGCAGTTGATCTAACCACTCAACATCTATATTTAATAGATAGATGAACAGTTTATCATAAATTTGTTACTCAGTAACAATGCCGTCTATTTGTTCAATATGTATGAATGACCAAATTATCTCTTATTTGATTGATATTTAATAGATGTGATACTTAAATGAAAATTATGAAATAAGCGGCTCGAATTATAAAATTTTGTGCAATCAAAATACATTGATCACAATTAATAGATAAGGTGATGCATTTTCATAAGAGGTGAATGAAAGTATTTTCTTTTATAAATTACATCAATAGTATTGACATATTGCATTAGGGCTGGAAAAAATTCCTGAAAATCTCGAACCAAACCGAAAAAATTCCAAACCGAAAATTCCCGAACCGATTCCGAAAATCCCAAACCGATCCCGAATCATTTGGTATGGGATTTGGGATTGCTCATTCTAAGTTTGGGAATCTCGAAAATATATATTATTATCTATATATATTTAATTATATATAGAATAATTGCAAGTTTGCAACCATTGGATTGTTTCAAAACAATCTAGGTCGTCCATTCTTTGTTAGGGGTCTCTAGCCCTACCCACTCTCTGTCTCATTTCATTTCGACAGCCCTCCCCTCTTCACTCAAACTCTCTCTGAGTCTCTTATTCTCGAATTAGACCAACACACCCTCCCACAATCTCACTCGAATTCTTTCGACAAACTCTCTCTACTACGGCCACCACCACACCTCACGACCACACAGTCTCCGACCCTCCACCTTCCCTCCACCACACACAGTCACACAGCCAACCCTCTCTCTCACGATTCTCTGTCGCGATTTTCTCTCTGAGACTGTCACTGATTCTCTCTCTGTTTGTGGGGTTTCGAGTTAGGGTTAGGATTTCGAATTGGGGGTTCGAATTGGGGCTTTTGCAATGGGGTTTCGAATTAGGTTTATGTGTGTGGGGTTTCGGGTTAGGGTTAGGGTTTCGAAATGGGGCCTTGAATTGGGGCTTCTGCAATGGTGTATACGAAGTGAACGGCGGGTTTAGCGTCGGCGGAGCTCCAAGGAGGTATTTACCTTACTTTTTTTTTCAGTTTGCTTTTCTTTTTGTTATGCACCCTTTCATTTCTTTTTTTCCTTAGCTTTTTGAATGGGAACTGGCATGAGACGGATGGGAACCAAAAACAGCCAATGGCCCACTAAATTTGGCCATAATTCATCTGATGATGTTGGGGTAAAAGAGGAAGGAGATAGGTGGAGTCTGCTTTCTTTGCTCATCTGCTTTTCTAGGTTTATAACAATTTTGAATTTTTTGCAATTGGTATGAATTTTCTGGGTTTATACAAATCCCAAATGCGTCCCGAAATCCCGAAATTTCGGGTTATAAAATACCGTCCCGAAAATTATTGGGTTGGGAATCAGGCTTTGGGTTTCGGTACGGGATCCCGTCCCGAACTAGCCCTATATTGCATGATGGTTATTTACAAACTATGTATACATCAATAGTATTGACATATTGCATGATGGTTATTTACAAACTATTGATACTTTCTGTCATAACAAGTTGAATTATTAGGGTATTTGAGTGAAAACCTCTATGCAATTTCGCATATATATCGAAAGCAAAAATTGCAATTTGCAAAAAGAAAATGCAAATATTGCAAACAAAATACTCGTTTGAAAGTGTACTAAATATATATTTATGAAGTTCAGAAGTACTCAAAAATTCTTTTTGCAAGAAACAATAGCAATTTTTTGTATGAATATTTCAATCATTTTAAAAAATAAAAATTAATTAAATGGTTTGAAAATTTTAAGTTTTAACGATAAAGATAAAATAAATTATAAAATAAATAATACCATAATTGACTTTTTAATGTAAAAATATAACTTTTCGTTTAAATGAATCGTTTATCTTTTAAAAATAACTTCAAATTAGACCAAATATTGTATTAGTAGGAGTAGGACAACCGACAACGTAGTAAACCTGATTGACAAGGGCATACGGAGACAGCGAAATCAACAGAAGAAAAGAGAAAAAGTAGGCATCATCATGTAAAACAAGAAACGCTGGAACACTGACTGAGACTGTCTAAATTCACGAAAAGTTGTCGATTTGCGTGATAAATGATGCTTGATTCTGATCCGCTCACCGATTGAGATTTGTAAAACGATCTCGTTCGGATTTCGCGAATCAAATCCACAAAAATTTACAAACACCTTATATACAAATCCAAGTACCCAACCCATTGATCGTCAATCCAAGAATATGAATCAAAAGAATAAAAACAGCTGCTCTCCAAAATTCGAAATAAATTGGGCCAAATTTTTAACTTGTACTAAGAAATGGCAGCTAAAGACGGGCAGGACCTGGAGTCACCTGGCCTTCACTTGGCGGATTGAACGGCGGCGCCGCCTTTGTAGCTGGCGGAGGCTGCTGAAAAGATGGCGGATTGGAAGTTGGGTTAGGCGGAGGTGGACTCAGAATTGATGTCGGCGGAGGTGGCGGCGGAGTTGGGGGAGGTGGACTCAGAATTGATGTCGGCGGAGTTGGCGGAGGTGGACTGAGAATTGATGTCGGCGGAGTTGGCGGAGGTGGGCTTAGAATTGATGGCGGCGGAGGTGGAGGAGGCGGGCTTGAAGTTGACGTCGGCGGAGACGGGTTTAAATCTGGGTTGCGCGGCGGAGGCGGGTTGAAATTGGCGTTAGGTGGGCTGGGCTGGGTCAGAGTTGGATCGGGATTTGGTGAGCTCGGCTGGTTCGAACCGGAACTGGGGTTAGGGAATTGAATTGGTGGGGAGGGGAGAGGGCTGCAGGAGTCCGAATCGGCGGAGCATTTGTGGGATTTATGGAGGCCGTGGCGGAGAACCCCTAATCCGAAAACCAGCCCGAACACTACCAACACTGTCACCAAAAAAATGAAGATCTTTGTTGCTTTTCCCACATAGCACATTTTGGTTTGCTGGGTTTCTGCTGGGTTTTGCAGGGTGTGGGTTCAGGGAGATTGGCAGAGAGAATGGCGGTGCTGGTGGGGTTTGCTGGGTGTTTTTCGTCGTCTTCTTTTCATGGCGACGAAGGCGGAGGAAGAGAGTGAGGGTAGTGAGTGTGCATTTTTCGTCCTTTTTTTGGAGTTACTAGAATTGAGAGGGAGAGAGGGAGAGAGGGAGGAGAGAGGGTAAGTGAGGCAAATGAAGGCTAATTTTCAATGGGAAAGTGGGTTTGTCCCAGTTCTGGCCATTTGCCAAGCCCAACAAAAGATTTATTGTGACGATAACACGAGCGGTATATCACGTGTTTTTATGTAAGTTGTAGAAAATTTTATTTTTTAAGTTATTAATTTTTTAACACACATATTTCATTATTTGTATAGTGACACGTGATATACCACCTCATTTGCTGGTCACACTAAAAAATCTCTCATGTTTCAACTACAGTTTTGCATACTGATTTCCCACAATGCCTTTCTTCTTGACAATAAGTAGGGATGCAACTCGATCGGGTTAGATAAATTGGACGATCAACCGATCCAACTCTAACATATTTCTTCCCATTCAGTAATTCGGGTTCAATCGGCTTGGAAAATATTAACCATCACAATGCAAAGTGAATTTAGGTTAACTCTACTTTAAATGAAGGAAATTATAATAATGGTTTCTCAACTTTAATTCTATTGGAGTAAGTTTTTTATTTTTTTTGGAGAACTGGAAAAAGCATTTCCAGGATCAAAGCCAAAGAGACAAGGAGGTCTACAAGGAGGCAACAACCAGGAAAAGCAAACACAGAGTAGTGATTGAGGTACAAAGGCATGAGACACTGCACCAAGTGCAAGGGTGTCATCCCCATCACCACCACAACAAAATTAAGGAGGACAAGGGAGACCATCCTTATTCAGGATATGCACCAACGAAGATGGGGGTTGGTTAACCCAAGAGGAACCGCACATCTCCGTATTAGACCTCGACGCCAACCGATGTGCCGCCATATTGGCTGATCTCAGAACCCAAGACCAACGACACCTCTGAAAGACATCCATAAGCCTCAAAATCCTTGTCAACGTAGGGAACGCCTCCCAGCTACCAGAAGAAATATCATTCAACAAAAAAGAAATGTTCTCCTTGGAGTCTAACTTCACAACAATTTGCTACATATCCAGAGATTTAGCAAATTTGCACCCCACAAATATAGCATTAGCTTCTACCGCCATAGTGCTTGGAGCATGAGTCTGCCATTTCCTCACTGCCACAAACCGACCATCCGAATTCCGAACAACGACCCCAACGAATCCTTCACTAGTGGTAACAGACCAACTCGCATCAACATTGACCTTCATAAAGGGAAACTCGGGGGAGACCACATGACCAAGCCAGACGAAGAAACCTGCGAAGGGAGAAAGCTTCCCGACGGCGAATGGGAAGCCTCCAGGAAAAAATCAACCGATAAGGTGAGAGACAAAAAAACTTGCCGGGGTAATATGATATTCTTATTAAAAATTGAGTCACACCGAGCCTTCCAAATGTGCCAACAAGTGAAGGCAACATACAACAATAGCCAAGTAACATCAACCATCGACCCCAAATGAGAGTTCATCAGCGAAGAAAACCAATTCGCCAAAGATGTAATGCTCGCCCTATCCACTTTATAATTAAGAGAACCTCCAAACCATAAGGTTTCGACCCACGGGCATAACAGAAGCATATGCTCGATAGATTCCTCACAAGCATGACATATAGGGCAAATTGGAGTAGGAGAACATCGACGCCTATAAAGAGCCTCCATAGTAGCCAAAGCCCTACTAAACGCCTTCCACATAAAACAACGAATCTTCGGAGGGATCTTCAAATTCCAAAAAACCTTCCAAACACGGGAATGAATAAAGAAAGAAGTAGAAACCAGCCTAGTCACCACTTACACTGCAGAGGAATGCACCCAATGATAACCAGATCTCACAGTATACACCACATTCCTAGTCATTAGTCAAACTAATATATCCTTCCTTAAATGATCCCCAATATGTACTTGAACAATCGTCTTGCACTCCTCCTCTGAAATGAAAGGTTTGAGAAAATCATTATCCTAATTCCCCACATGCCCACCAAATAACAAGTTCACTAGCAAATTCCTCGACACCCTAACATTAGCTGGAGGAGTAGGGTGGCCAAGAGGGAGAGATGGAATCCATCTATCATGCCAAACTCGAACACTTTCACTATTCATAACTTACCAATGTGCACCCCAAAGAAGAATATCATGGCCAGCCAACAAACTCGTCAACCCTAAGACGTTCTGCCTCCCCGTTTGGCCTCTAAGAACGAACATTGAGGAAAGTACCAGGCTTTGAGAACTTGAGCCCATAGCGAATTAGGATCCTGCAGCAACCTCCAACATTGTTTAGCAAGAAGGGCATCGTTAAAGTTGTTGAAAGTGCGAAAGCCTAAACCCCCCCTTAGACTTCAGCAACCCCAAAATAACCCAAGAAACCCAGTGAATACTCTTATCCCATCCATGCTTCCCTCACCAAAAATCAGCAATCAAACAGTCTAACTTCGAGTATAAGGTTGTCGGGAATTTAAAAATATTCATGGGGTATGCCGGGATGGCTTGAATAACAGCCTTGATCATAACCCATTTCCCTGCTTGTGATAGAGTACATTGTTTCCAACCTTGAATTTTCTCCAAAATCCTACCTTTGGCATAGGTAAGGCCCAGTTTTTTTGAATGACTCCACAAAGAAGGAAGACCTAAATAAGTCCTAGGATTAACCACCATAGGGATGCCTAAAACCTAATTGAGGTACATCGAGATTCCACTCAGAGTATTCGCGCCAATAAATACACTGGATTTTTGTAAATTCACATGTTGCCCAGAAGCCGCAGAGTAAGCATCGATTATTTTCACAAGGTTGCAACAGTTGGGTGATCCACCCTCAGAAATATCAAGGTATCATCTGCAAAGAGCATATGAGAAATAATTGGTCCACCAGTATTCGTACGAATACCCAACAAATCACGTCTTTCAACCACCGATTGGATAAGCCTAGATAAGACCTCACTGACAAGGAGGAATAGATATAGAGATAAAGGGTCCCCATGACGAATACCCCTAGACGGGAAGAACCTCATACCTGACTGCTCATTCAAAATCACTACAAAATTCATCGATTTCACGCAGCCCATAACGAGATTCCTCCATCTAGCACAAAAGCCCAACTTCTCCATCACCACATCCAGGAAATCTCACTCAACACGATCATAAGCTTTATGCATATCGAGTTTAATTCCCATCTCAAACTTACCTTTCACTTTCCAAAGCTTTAAGGAATGGAACATCTCATGCGCAATACCAATATTATCATGAATCTGTCTCCCTTCCACAAAAGCATTTTGCATGGGAAAGATGATATTCGGAAGAAAAGACTTGAGACGGTTAGCTAGCACTTTGGATAAAACTTTGTAAGAATAATTGCACAGGCTTCTGGGCCTAAACTATCCCACAGATTCTGGGTTTTTAACTTTCGGGATCAAAACAATGTGGGTAGAATTAAGTCTTTAAGGTGAACTCACCCCATTGACGATATCCCAAACCAGCCCATTAACTTCCGTCACAAGAGCATCAAAAAATGCATGGTAGAACACACCTTGGAAACCATTAGGACCCGGGGCCTTTAAACCCCCTATTTGATGAGCAACAGACTTAATTTCCTCCTCCGAAATCAAACTAATTAGAAACTCATTCATCTCACCAGTCACCGAGGTGTGCAAACAATCCTATAAAAAGCCTCAATCCTTATGCCCCGAGGAAGTAAAAATATTTGCAAAATACTCTTCCACCATATTCCTCACCGCCCCTAGGTTATCAATCCAAACAGCATTCCTATCTTTAAGCTTAACCACATTATTCCTCCTATGTCTCTGCAACGTAGACTGGTGAAGAAAAAAAAAACGATATTAGCATCCCCCTCCCTAAGCCATTTAATCTGGGATCGTTGATACCAGTAACTTTCCTCCACCTTCCACAATTGCTTAAGCTTCATAGAGACCACTTTAATGTCTTCCCAATTTTCACTCTAATCATACTGAAGTTCCCCGAGCTGAAACACCAGACGTTCAATCTCCTTCCCTTGAGCCTTAAACTCTCTGCGACTTCAACGAATTAACTGAGATTGGCAATCGGTCAATTTTTTGTGCCATCGTGAAATCCCATCACCAAGACAACGTCTCCCCCCAGCAAGTTTCAACAATCTCCATGCACCTAGCTTCCTTAGACCAAGAGGCTTCAAATCGAAAGAATTTTTTGGAATTAAAACCCCATGCTGGCATTGAATAATTAAATGACAGTGGTCAGACTCAATGACAGTACCATGAATCACTAGCGTGTTAGGCCATTTCTCCTGCCAAAGCTTATTAGACAGGCCTCTATCCAATCTTTCCTCTACCAACTGCCCATTTCTAACGCAACACCAAGTAAACTGAAGCCTATTGAAATCTAAGTCCATCAACCCTGCATTATTCATAAATGCCTCTAAATATCTGGTCTATTATAAAGCACCTCCGATCCCCTTGACTTATATCATGGTCCAAAAAAAAACTCATTAAAGTCACCACCACAAAGCCACAGGAGGTTGAAAGGACTAAACGAAGACCTCATCCAGCTCCAAAATGCAAACTTCTCCGCCCTATACGTAGTACCATACACCCACGTGGCCCTGGCCCATACGTCATCTCTCATCCCTCTAAATCTCACATCAATTATATGTTTTGAAGAAAACCCAACATCCACCTCTAATAAACCATCCCACCATAAGCTTAAACCTTATGCACGCCCAACTGGAGTAACTTTAAAACCCATCGTATATCCCATACGTCGTTTAACACCATAAATTCTATGATCCTTCATTTTAGTTTTAGAGAGAAAAATCATATAGGGCCTATACTTCCTAATTAGCCCCTAAAGGGC